CAGGCATGTGGGCTGACAGCCCATTCCTATGGTTACAGTGATTTGCTGGGCCCTCGCTACGTATGTGACATAGTGAAAGAGGCATTACATACATTCTCTACTCTTTACAACCCTTTGAGATAGGTATGGCAGACCTGTTTATTAAAGAAAGGAGACACAGAGAGGGAGAGTAGCCTTCCAGGGTCACATGAACAGTAAGTGGTACAGTCAATCACTGAGCCCTTCAATTAAAAATTTCTTTAAAAATAATTCATCAAAAATTGCTGGGCATGGTGGCTTATGCCTGTAATTCTACCACTTTGGGAGGCTCAGGCAGGCAGATTGCTTGAGGTCAGGAGTTCAAGACCAGCCTGGGCAAGATGGCAAAACCCCATCTCTACTAAAAATACAAAAATTAGCTGGGCACAGTGACAGGTGCCTGTAATCCCAGCTACTCGGGAGGCTGAAGCAGGAGAACCCAGGAGGCGGAGGTTGCAGTGAGCTGAGATCGCACCACTGTAATCCAGACTGAGTGACAGAGTGAGCTGAAGGGATGGGCATGGTGAGGGGCTGGGTTGGCTCCGGACGCGTCCCCCTATGCCTCTCCTTGCTCCCTCAGGGCCTCACCAACCAGCGGGCTCAGGACATTCTGGCTCGAGATGGGCCCAATGCCCTCACACCACCTCCCACAACCCCTGAGTGGGTCAAGTTCTGCCGTCAGCTCTTTGGGGGGTTCTCCATCCTGCTGTGGATTGGGGCCATCCTCTGCTTCCTGGCCTACGGCATCCAGGCTGCCATGGAAGATGAACCATCCAACGACAATGTGAGCCCACACGCCTGACCCCTGGAGCAGCCTGTGACTGTCCTCCAACCCTGAACCCCCAACACAGTGGCGGGTGGGCGGGGAACAAGGCCCTCCCATCACAGTCCTACAGACGCACTGCACTTTAGGGAGGAAAGGGGTGAGGCTTCTATATATATATATCTGCAAAGCACTTTCCGCCACACAAGGCATACACACTCACGTACTCATTAATTAATGAGACAATCTCTCCCTGTTCCTCCCCACGTAAGTGACCCTGTCTGCATGCCTGGGTCTTCACCCACTAGCAAAGTCCTAACCCTGGGAATTTTCTCAGGCTTTCCCTCTGTTTCCAGTCTTAGCAGGCTTGAGGTTGGCAGATCAAGGGGGAGGTTAGTGACAATGGCTTTCCCCTACCGTCATCACTCTCAGTCACAGACCAAGGTTGGGCTCTCATCTTGGATGGCTCTGCCTGCTCACCCCAAGTGGCAGCTGCCCTTTTAGAGTTGGGGGGAAGGGCAGGTCCCTGAAACTCTTTCTCCTTACCAGCTGTATCTGGGTGTGGTGCTGGCAGCTGTGGTCATTGTCACTGGCTGCTTCTCCTACTACCAGGAGGCCAAAAGCTCCAAGATCATGGATTCCTTCAAGAACATGGTACCTCAGGTAAGACATCAGGGCTGGGCTCGTGTAAGGTTTCGGCAAGAGTTCAGCTCATCTTCTCTCAACTCCTGTGTTCTGAGATGGAGATGGGCGGAAGAGATCCTCCAGCTCTCCACGCCAGCCCCTGATTTCCCATGGGGCTTCTCCTTCTGCTTGGCGGGGTTGGAGGAGAGGTGGGAGACCAGCAGGAGAAGAAGGCGGGGGCAGAGACAAGAATTTCATGTGCTGCCCGTGGCTCCCCACAGCAAGCCCTTGTGATCCGGGAGGGAGAGAAGATGCAGATCAATGCAGAGGAAGTGGTGGTGGGAGACCTGGTGGAGGTGAAGGGTGGAGACCGAGTCCCTGCTGACCTCCGAATTATCTCTTCTCATGGCTGTAAGGTGAGAAGGTCATACTGGAGCAAGCGGTTGAGTCTCAGGACCAGGCTGTGCAGAGCTGAGAGGGGACCAGTGAGGTTTAAAGGTGGGGAGACCCAGGTCCAAATGTCACCACCTTGCCTATGCCCCTGCCTAACCTCTCAGTGTGGGGTGCTTGTGCAGTGCCTCCTTGCACCTGCGTGTTGCAAGTGCTCTATGCCCCAGGTGTTTCTTTGTGGTCCTCTTTTTAGCCATCATGTATTGAGTACCAATTATGCGTCAGCTGTTTAATATGTGTTCACATGTGCTATCTGATGTAATTCTGAAAGAATGGTGTGATCATGCAGGGCTGCTGCATGTGGCCACACACGTTGCATCCTGAAGGACCCCGGGAGGTACATTTGCATAAACTACAATGTTAGTGGTGCCCCCTGTGGTTGTGCAAGGCAGAGATTCTGTTTGCATTCCTCATTTTACAGATGGAGGCTCTGTTGGTTAAGCAAGTAACCCAAGGTCACATAAGAAGTCAGGAGGAGTGAGATTTCCAAACCAGGGGCAATAGCTGAGTAATGCCATAAATATGTGATGAGGGCAAGTGTAACTTTGTTCCTCGCGTCATGAAGACTGAGTGTGGTTGGAGGTGGTTCAGGAGACAGCTGTGTGCATACGAGTGGCTCTGCCAGTGTGATGACTATGCACCCCTTCCTCCTCAGGTGGATAACTCATCCCTAACAGGAGAGTCGGAGCCCCAGACCCGCTCCCCTGAGTTCACCCACGAGAACCCCCTGGAGACCCGCAATATCTGTTTCTTCTCCACCAACTGTGTTGAAGGTGAGAAGCCAGCCTGCACCCCGTGAGAGGGTCTGAATCCTGAATCCACAGTCAGGATAAAGGGCTCTGGTAGTACTTACCTGGCAAAAGCTCTGCCATTGGTGGGGCAATCGAGGGGTTGGGGGCCCTGAATATTATGGAAACACCCTCCAGAGAGCACGGTATTGGCTGGGGGTGGCATAACTCCATGGGAAATGTATCTTCCTTCCCCAGGGAGATCTCTATTCGTCCACCCCAAGACTGGGTGCATTCCAAAGCTTTCAGATATTGGGTTAAGATCCCCTTAGACATGCACCCAGAGATGCACATATGCTCAGAACCACCTACATTCTTAGGAGTCTGTGGGTTTGACTGATGCTTCTAGTCCTTGTGGTTCTGGACCTAGGTGCCTCCTTCTCTAACCTTTGCTTTGACCAAGGCCCCAGGCTGTGGGTGAGCCAGGAAGGCATTCAGGCCCGGTGAACACATGGGCCCTTCTTCAGGCTGCTTCTAAACCTCTGTTACTCCAAAGACATGTGTCACCGGGCACAGGCTGCCCAGTTTGCCCCATTCCTGTTCTGGATTCTAGAGGTACACACAGGTCAATAAGAACTCCTAGAGCTGCCATCACTTAGCAGCAGGGGTCCCAGCAAAGCTGAAACCTAGGCCCTCTGTGGTCAAGCCAGTGAGTGGAGTCAGGGCTGACTTAGAGAAGGAGTAGGAGGAGGGAAGAGACAGAAAGAGGCCTCACTAGACCACCAACCTCTGAAAGTAAGGCAAAGGAGGCCTTGCACCCCAATCCACACTTCCCCTACCCATTACTCATTTCTCCTCAGTGTACTATGTTTCTCTGGGTTTTTTTTCCCTCCTTCCACAAGTTGGAATTACAGTCACTGCTTGGAATGCATGAGGAATTAGCTCCAGGACCCCCTTGGTTACCAAAATCCAAGAATGTTCAAGCCCCTGATATGAAATGGCATAATATTTGCATATAACCTGTGCACATCCTCCCGTATACTTTAAAACACCTCTAGATTACTTATAATACCAAGTACAATGTAATTTGTTGTACTGTTTTGTTTTTAAATTTGTATTGTTTTTATCGTCATTTTTTTTTTTTTAGCTCCAAATATTTTCGATCTGAGGTTGATGGAATCTGTGGAAACGAAGGGCCAACTGTGCAGATAAAAATCACCACACATTACATTTTCTAAATTTGTTTTTTGTTTTGCTTTTGAGACAGGATCTTGCTTTGTCACCCAGACTGTAGTGCAGTGGCGCGATCACAGCTCACTGCAGCCTTGACCTCCCAGGCTCAAGTGATCTCCCACCTCAGCCTCTAGAGTAGCTGGACCATGCCCAGCCTATATATATATATATATATATATATATATTAGAGATGGGGTCTCACTGTGTTACCCAGGCTGGCCTCAAATTCCTGGGCTCAAGTGATACTCCTGCCTCAGTCTCCCTAAGTGTTGGGACTACAAGCATGAGCCACCAAGCCTGGCCACATTGCCTAAATTTTTAATGCACTGAGATCCTGAAATTTACATTTCCCACAATTGATTTATTCAGAAATGCCTAGTAATATGTTCCCATTGCTTACTCTGCAATTGGCTTTGAAAAGAGGAGAGGAAATACAAATGCTTCATTTGAAGTATTTGTTGAGCACCCACTATGTTCCAGGCACTGGTCTAAGGGTATCAGAGCATCATCTCACCTAAATATTAGGACAACACCACGATAGGAATTCAAATAAGGATTCAAGCCCAAATTTAACTTGGCCATTGTGCATGCTTTTTCTAATGCACCATGCTTCTTTCCCAGAAGACCCCTGTAATGTCACCCAAGGGTTAGCTGTTGTCTGCCTTCCTCTATAGAGAGTCATGCCTGATGTTGAGAAAGAAAATCTTAAGACTGAATGGAAAATCCATAATGAGTTCTTTACTTTGTGTTCAAATATATTTTTGGATGGTATCAAGTACAGGATTGATTTTACCAAAATGCCACAGGCAATTTTTATGTATTAAATCTCCTCTATTTGACCTTTGAGATTATTTGCAAGCTTCCCCCCAGGCCCAAGTACAAGAGAAAGTAATTTGCTGTTGTATTGATTCTGGGATTGGCGATCTATCCTGGGAAAGGAAGGCCAAGTGGGGACAACCTACCAAATGTGGCCTTCAGATCTGTGGCTTTGGCTCACCCACCCTGTGATGGTTTTCTTTGCTCAGGAAGTAGGACAGGACTACAGTCCCGGGAGCCACAAGGCACCCAACCTGATGTCCCCCCATGTTGCAGGCACGGCTAGGGGCATCGTGATTGCCACAGGTGACCGGACGGTGATGGGCCGCATAGCCACGCTCGCCTCAGGCCTAGAGGTTGGGCGGACGCCCATAGCCATGGAGATTGAACACTTCATCCAGCTGATCACAGGGGTTGCTGTTTTCCTGGGGGTCTCCTTCTTCGTGCTCTCCCTCATCCTGGGCTACAGCTGGCTGGAGGCAGTCATCTTTCTCATCGGCATCATCGTGGCCAACGTGCCTGAGGGGCTTCTGGCCACTGTCACTGTGAGTGGATCAGGCTGAGGTGCCACCAGGGGAGGGTCTCACTACTCTTTCCTCAAAGTGATAGAGGTACAGTTGCTTATAGCTTCTCAGTGCTTCTTTCCCCTAGAATCACATAATGGATGCTATACTCAGAGATCACTCAATACGTGGCTCAGAGCGGGAGATGAGAAATCTCAGGTGGGGCTATACTTGGGCACTCAATTTCTCTTCTGGAGCTTGTCACGGTTGCCTTTTCTCATGATCTGCCAGCATTCTGGGTCTCATTCCAAAGGCCAGCAGTCACTAACTAGCAAATCCAGTGACCTTTTCTCAGCTCTCCTCCCTAACCCCGCTACTGAAACAGATACTGCTGTCCACCCTCCTAGCATTCTCTCTTTTGTCAACTGCTGTGATCTGTCGCTATCCTGGTTTGCTTCTCCTCTGTCCCCTTGTGCACCCCCCATGCTGATTCTCAGGCCTCAGCTCTCTGCTCTTCCTACGCCCGGAGCAAAAGCCAATCTCCTCTGCATTTCCAGTGCCCCTTCTGTGTGGATGACTCGCACATCCCTATGCCCAGCTCTGCTGTGACCCTCTCTGGAGTTCTAGTCAAATGTCTTCAACCCCCTACCCAGCATGTCATCTTGATAGATACTCATGATCTCAACATATCTAACATTGAACATTCCTCATTTACAGCTAAGTCCCACCCATTCAAGCTAGTGGGGTGGATCAGGGGAGAAGGAATGGAGCCATGGTCTAGGGTAAGGTCATGGTCATTTCTAGCTACAGTCTGAAGTGTTTTTATTCTCCTCTTTCTCTTCCAGGTGTGCCTGACCCTGACCGCCAAGCGCATGGCACGGAAGAACTGCCTAGTGAAGAACCTGGAGGCGGTGGAGACGCTGGGCTCCACGTCCACCATCTGCTCGGACAAGACGGGCACCCTCACCCAGAACCGCATGACCGTTGCCCACATGTGGTTCGACAACCAAATCCATGAGGCTGACACCACCGAAGACCAGTCTGGTGATTGGGTGCTCCAGAGCGGGTGGAGAGGATTAGAGGACTCGGGGGGCAGTGGCGTGGTGGGGGAGGGTTGAGATAAAGGCTCTAAAGGGAGCCATTCTCCTGGTTCTCACTTGTTTCCTCCCAGGGGCCACTTTTGACAAACGATCCCCCACGTGGACGGCCCTGTCCCGAATTGCTGGTCTCTGCAACCGTGCTGTCTTCAAGGCAGGACAGGAGAACATCTCTGTGTCTAAGGTAGGGGGTTGGCATACACAACAAGTGTGTTTTGGGAGTGTCTCCAAAGGCCTCTGGCTGGCTGCACCCAGCTTTCCCTCTCCCATGCTGTGGCTGCCTTGGGAGCTTCGGTGCCCCCTTCACCCGATCCTCCGCTCCCTTTTTCCCACACTGACACTGAATTCTTGTCTCTTCTGGCAGCGGGACACAGCTGGTGACGCCTCCGAGTCAGCTCTACTCAAGTGCATTGAGCTGTCCTGTGGTTCAGTGAGAAAGATGAGAGACAGAAACCCCAAGGTGGCAGAGATTCCTTTCAACTCGACCAACAAGTACCAGGTCTGCTTGGGTTGCCAGGACAGAGGAAAAGGGAGAGATAGAAATGGGAGGCAGGGGGTGGGCAAACCCACAGGGAATCATCACTAGGAGGAGCCAGGGCACCTGAGGGTGGTGTTGCCTCCACTGCCACGCCCCCCAGGACAGTTCATGTGACTGCATGTCTGACTGCAACTAACCCCAGCTCCCAAACCTTACTCCATCCCTTACTACAATCTGTCACTCTCTCAACTCTCCTTCCCATGGCTCCCCACCCTCTGGCCTAGCCTTCCAACTCTTATACTCCATTCAGTGAAACCATAATTCTGTAATTCCCTTGTGGTGCCCCTTAGCCTTTAGGCACCTGTTGAGTGCCAAGATTGCAGTCTCAGCATTCTGTATCATCTATAGAGGTAAAGGCCCCTGACTGAAACCAGGTGGTGGTGGGGACGCTGAGGAGGGAGCTGTCCAGCCCCTAGCACAGTGCCTTCTTAAACAGACCTCAATAAACATTTGTTGAATGAATGACTGTCCTATGGAGGTGGCTCTCAGTTTACAAGAGTTGGAACTATAAGGTCCAAACACCCCCCTGCCCAAGGAGATTCTTTTTATTGACAATCTTTGATGGGTTGGGGCTACTTTGCTAAGGCGGTTTCTTACCAGCTGCTGCTCTATGCTGAGCTACCAACTCAAGCATCGCCCTCCCTGTAACTGCCTGTCATCTCTCCAGCTGTCCATCCATGAGCGAGAAGACAGCCCCCAGAGCCACGTGCTGGTGATGAAGGGGGCCCCAGAGCGCATCCTGGACCGGTGCTCCACCATCCTGGTGCAGGGCAAGGAGATCCCGCTTGACAAGGAGATGCAAGACGCCTTTCAAAATGCCTACATGGAGCTGGGGGGACTGGGAGAGCGTGTGCTGGGTAAGAGGCCAGAAACAGGAAGCCCAGAAGGGGATTCCCAAGCCTCCGTGGCATCCCTGGGGTGAAGGACTGTGGGGGCGTCTAGGAAGCCACCCTGTGGTTCTCACTGCTCCCTTCTGCCCCCTTTCAGGGTTCTGTCAACTGAATCTGCCCTCTGGTAAGTTTCCTCGGGGCTTCAAATTCGACACGGATGAGCTGAACTTTCCCACGGAGAAGCTCTGCTTTGTGGGGCTCATGTCTATGATCGACCCTCCCCGGGCTGCTGTGCCAGATGCTGTGGGCAAGTGCCGAAGCGCAGGCATCAAGGTACTGGCCTCCCTTCCTCCCCACCATCCTAGCATCCCTCATACCAGAGGTCAAGAGGCTGCAGTGGCTGCCACCCTGAAGAGGCCTAGGCCACGGTGGTCTCCTTCCCACTGACTCAGAGAAGAAGCGTCCATGTGCAAGGAAAGGCCCACCCCTGTCTGGAGCACTCCCCCTCATCCCTGTTGCTCAGAGAGGCCAGTGCCTTGATGCCTGGCCTCTCCTCTGCCTCCTCCTCTGCCTCCCTGGCACATCTCATTGTCCCATCTGCATGTGCACCCTTCCATTCTGATTTGAAGCACAATCAAATCAGAATGGGGGTTGAGACTGGAACACTAGTGAAGACTGGAACGCTGGGGCAGAGCCAGTTGGAAGGACTTGGTTTAAATGCCAGACTCAGGCTTTATCCTGCAGGCCACAGAGAGCCACCAGTGTCATAGGGCAGGTCGAGCTTTTAGGAGACTACCTGGTTGAGGAGGGACTGGATTTGAGGAAGAACTGGAGTCAGGGAGAGACAGGTGAAGAGGCCATTGCCAGAGTTCAGGCAAGAAGTGATGACCTGAACTAGGGCAGCAGCAAAGGGAGCGGAGCGGAATAGCCATGTTTGAGGAATGTTCGAGAACTTGGTGACCGAACTGGATATGGAAGGTGAGGAAGATACAGGAAAGGAGGGGACAGGATGAGTAGAGAGGACAGCATCTGAGGTAGGGAGAGGGGCAGGCTTGGTGGGGTGGTGGGAGCAGAGAAAAGGATCTGGCACTCCTATCTTGGAGACATGGCTGTCCTACCCTTCCCAACTACTGCCCATTCTCTCTACCGATTTAGGGTGGGATTCACAGGCTCTTGTCTGCTCCCACTGGCTCAGCCCATAACCCCACAGAATCCCTCCCACTCCAGGTTCTCTTGTCCAACTACAATTGTGTCTCACTGACCACTCTCTCCTCTGTGCTATGCTTGCTCTTCATTCAACAAATATTTCTTGTTTACTGGGTATCAGACACTGTGCACAGGTGTTTGCACAGTGTCTGATACCCAGTGAATGATCTCTGTCACATGACACAAGCAAATGGGACAATGAGCTAGTCAGAGAGGGCACATATAAATCAAGCACTATTCTAAGCACTAAATGTGTATGATTTCATTTAATCTACACAGCAATCCTGTGAATAGCACTAGCATTTTTCCTTTTTTACAAAGAGGGAAACTGAGGCACAAAGTACCATGCCAAAGCCACACAGCTAGTATAAATCATAGAGCCAGGACTTGAACCAAGGCAGTCTGTGATTCTTAACTTTCACACCAGGAGACTTGGTGCTATGTATATATGTGATTTCTGAACCCCGTAACCACCATGTCTCCAAGGCAGGAATCATTATCCCTGTTAAAAGTGAAACAAGGTTGGGCATGGTGGCTCACGCCTGTAATCCCAGCACTTTAGGAGGCCGAGGGAGGTGGATCACCTGAGGTCAGGAGTTTGAGACCAGCCAACATGGTGAAACCCCATCTCTACTAAAAAAAAAAATACAAAAATTAGCCACACATGGTGGCAGGTACCTGTAATCCCAGCTACTTGGGAGGCTGAGGCAGAAGAATCACTTGAACCCAGGAGGGAGAGGTTGCAGTGAGCTGAGATTAGGCCACTGCACTCCAGCCTGGGCAACAGGAGCAAGACTCCATCACCAAAAAAAAAAAAAAAAAAAAAGTAAAACAAATGGAAACTGTGAGTGGGTAAGTCATTTTCCCAAAATAAAACTGCCAGTAAGTGATGGACTGGAACTATGAAGTGTGGTCTGCTTGACCGGAAAGCCCGAGCTCCTGCTGCTTGGCCAGGTTCCTCTCTCTGTGATCAGAACCGTCATGGAGGCCAGGGCAGAGGACCTCTGTGGGAAGTGAGCACAGTGAGCTATTAACTCTGCCTCAGAGAATTGGACACTGTTTAACCAAGGGGATGATATTTGAGCTGGGCTTTGGAGGTCGAAGAGTATTCTGCAAGGGAGAGGAAGGCAGGTCAAGACCAGGGAACAGTGCATACCCTGGCGTGGCTAGACTGTACGGGGCATGTGTAGGGGTTGGCAGGGGTGTGGTGGCAAGGAGCACTGGGGGTTAAGACTGGAACGCTGGGGCAGAGCCAGTTGGAAGGACTTGGCTTAAATGCCAGACTCAGGCTTTATCCTGCAGGCCACAGAGAGCCACCAGTGTCATGGGGCAGGTCGAGCCTTTAGGAGACTACCTGGCTGAGGAGGGACTGGATTTGGGGAAGAACTGGAGTCAGGGAGAGACAGGTGAAGAGGCCATTGCCAGAGTTCAGGCAAGAAGTGATGACCTGAACTAGGGCAGCAGCAAAGGGAGCGGAGCGGAATAGCCATGTTTGAGGAATGTTCGAGAACTTGGTGACCGAACTGGATATGGAGGGTGAGAAAGATACAGGAGAGGAGGGGACAGGATAAGTAGGGAGGACAGCATCTGAGGTAGGGAGAGGAGCAGGCTTGGTCAGGTGGTGGGAACAGAGAAAAGGAGTTCAGTGTTGACCTTAAGCTTGAAGAGTCTATAAGACACCCTGGGAGACACAGAGGTTCCAGTGAGCATTGGAGTAGGGTTTAGGACTCATGGAAGACGATCAGGACTGGAGACTTGAATCTCATTACCACAAGGGTGCAAACTAAAGGCTTGTAGTATATTTTACTATATTGCCCAGGAAGAGCAGACAGGTCAAGTAAAGGGAGGAGAATGAAACCCTGCACCACACCAACATTTAGGGGCAGGAGGAGGCAGTGAAGAGGGGAGATGGTGTAGGACCCAGTGCCGCTTAATCTTCATGACCGCCTGGAAAGGCAGGAGTCACCTCTGCATTGTGCTGAGACCTCAGTGCTTGGCTTGCCTAAAGTGCTGTAGCTGGAGAAGGTCAGTATTTGAACTTGAACTTTTCATTCAACTCTGAAACTGCTGCTCCTTCCATCCTACTAGGCTGCCGCTTGAGAGGATGGAAACGAGAACATGGAGGAGTGGAAGGAAGCCAGGAAGGGAGCTGTGTGTGGAAGCCAGGGGAGGGCATAGTGTCAAGGAGAGGAGGTCAATGGTGCCAAATGCCTCAGAGGGGTCAAGTAGGATGAGGACTGCAAAGACACCTCCATTTTTCAATTCAGAGGCCCATGTGGCCTTTGGGGGCAGTTTCAGTGAAGTGGTGGGAGCGGAAGAGAAGGCAGTGGGATGATAGAGGCTTCCTTTCCAGTATCTGTAGGACTTGCCCAGCTCTGCACACCTCATACTTATAGTAGCCTCTTAACCCAGCCACCCTCCCCATCTCAACTCCATCCACTCTGCCACAACAGCAATGAACATTATGGTGGAGGCGGGGCCACCATGCCTTACACCAGGGAGGACTGGCAGAGGCCAATGCACAAGGTGGCGGAGTCTGGGGTGTTGTCTTCATCTTATTCCTGTTCTGTCCATTACATTGCTGCAGTGATCAGTATTTGACTCTAAGAACCTCATGTCCTGTTTCCAGGCCCCTGTGCCTTCAAGCAGGTCGTAGGCCCTCTCTAAGTCTTGGTTTCCTCTTGTGTGAGATAAAGGAGTTGTTAAAGGGGCTTTCCAGCTCTGACTGCCTTGAATCCCATGAAATCCAAACCCCTAAAATCATCTCTTAAATAATCCTCAAGATTTGAGGCTTCTCCTTCAGGGCATCCTCATTAACCTGCTATTCTGTCACGGATACTTTCCTGCATTTAAGCAAACATCTCTCTCTAAGCCTCTGAACATAACACATCTTGCCATTATCTCTCCTCCTCACCTACCCACCCAAATACACACACATATACACACACATCCATACACACACGCATACACGTACATCACACACACACACAATCCCCACCCCCATACACATCCCACACACACACACACAATCCCCACCCCCATACACATCCCAATCACACACATAAACATAAACCCCACCCCACACACACACATCCCACACACACACATCCCACACACACACATCCCACACACACATACACACATCCCCACCCCACACACACATCACACACATACACATAAACCCCACCCCACACACACGTCACACACATACACATAAACCCCACCCCACACACACACATCCCACACACACACAATCCCCATCCCCATACACATCCCACACACACACACAATCCCCACCCCCATACACATCCCACACACACACACACACAATCCCCACCCCCATACACATCCCAATCACACACATAAACATAAACCCCACCCCACACACACACATCCCACACACACACATCCCACACACACACATCCCACACACACATACACACAATCCCCACCCCACACACACATCACACACATACACATAAACCCCACCCCACACACACGTCACACACATACACATAAACCCCACCCCACACACACACATCCCACACACACACAATCCCCACCCCCATACACATCCCACACACACATACACACAATCCCCACCCCACACACACATCACACACATACACATAAACCCCACCCCCCACACACACATCCCACACACACAATCCCCACCCCCATACACATCCCACACACACATACACACAATCCCCACCCCACACAATCACACACATACACATAAACCCCACCCCATACACACACATCCCACAAACACACAATCCCCACCCCCATACACATCCCACACACACATACACACAATCCCCACCCCTCACACACACAACACACACATACACACAATCCCCACCCCACACACACATTACACACACACACACATACACATAATCGCCATCCCTCAACACACACATGCACACAATCTCCACCCCCCACACATCCCACACACACATACACACAATCCCCACCCCCAACACACACACACACACACACACACACACACCATGCCATTATTTCCACTGGGATCTGCCAGCCCCAGACATCTCGCTGTCTGGCTTTATCTTTCCTTGGGAGAGGGATGGGAGGGGGATAAGCCCTTAGCACTGCTTTCCTTTTGTCTCCTCTCCTTCCCACTAGGTGATCATGGTAACCGGGGATCACCCTATCACAGCCAAGGCCATTGCCAAAGGCGTGGGCATCATATCAGAGGGGAATGAGACTGTGGAGGACATTGCGGCCCGGCTCAACATTCCCGTGAGTCAAGTCAACCCCAGGTGAGGCCTCTGCAGGAAGCCCCTGCCCCCACAATCAACACATCCTCTTGCCCAGGAGGCTTGGCTGTCCCCTGGGGATATTGGACGGCACTTCTGGGACCTTTATGGGCCTTACCTCTGACACTACAGTGAGTGGTTCCTCAGCCCTGAGCTTGTGTCCAGGCTGTGCCACTGAATACCTGTGTAACCTTGGAGATGTCACATTCCCGTCCTGAGCCTCCATTTTCTCACCACAAAATTAGGGTGCTGTCTCCATTGCTGTGGGAGTGGGATGTGTGTAAAGAAACTAGTACAGGGCCTAGCACACTGCATTTACCACTGCGATGGTCCCATGGTGAAGATTTAGAGTCACATCCTCAGAGATATATGGGGAAGGTGAGTATTGAGGACAGGACAACTGAAGCATCAGGGAACTGGGCTCAGCAGGGAGACTGCAGGCCTCGGTGGTGAGGAGAGTTAGGGGCAGCCAGGGCTGGTGCAGGTGCAGGGGGTCAGCCATCTCTGCCCCACCCACCCTCCAGGGAAGCCAAGGCATGTGTGGTGCACGGCTCTGACCTGAAGGACATGACATCGGAGCAGCTCGATGAGATCCTTAAGAACCACACGGAGATTGTCTTTGCTCGAACGTCTCCCCAGCAGAAGCTCATTATTGTGGAGGGATGTCAGAGGCAGGTGAGTGCAGCTGTGGCTGTCAGAGGCAGGTGAGCGCAGCCATGGCTGTCAGAGGCAGGTGAGCGCAGCCATGGCAGGCAGATGGCAGGCAGGGACTGGGGAGGCAGGGACAGGCCAAGAACAAGCATGGAGTGAGGCAAGAGGGGCCAGGCTTGGGCAGGGACTTTGTCCTCAAGTGCTGGCTGTCTTCCCTCCAGGGAGCCATTGTGGCCGTGACGGGTGACGGGGTGAATGACTCCCCTGCGCTGAAGAAGGCTGACATTGGCATTGCCATGGGCATCTCTGGCTCTGACGTCTCTAAGCAGGCAGCCGACATGATCCTGCTGGACGACAACTTTGCCTCCATCGTCACGGGGGTGGAGGAGGGTGAGGAGGTTGCGTGGTCTGGGACGCTCACAGGATATTGAAGCCAGCACTTCTGCTTCCAGTCCCTTTACCCTAGTTGAAGAATCATCCCAGGACTCTAGGCAGCCCAGCCCACTTTAGCTTCCCTTGAACACAAAATCTTTCTCTCTCAGGAAGGCAGGCAGCCATGCTTCAGGGGCTGGGGGCGGGGAAGAGTCCCTCTGACCTCCCTGACGCCCTCAGAACCTCCCCACAGGCCGCCTGATCTTTGACAACCTGAAGAAATCCATCGCCTACACCCTGACCAGCAACATCCCTGAGATCACCCCCTTCCTGCTCTTCATCATTGCCAACATCCCCCTACCTCTGGGCACCGTGACCATCCTCTGCATTGACCTGGGCACAGATATGGTGAGCGCAGGAAGTGGAGAGGGGACAGGCAAGGCAACCGTGAGGGCACAGTGGTGGGGAGGAGAGGTGCACTGGGGCAGCTCCCTGGCTGTGGGGGTCGCAGGAGACAGGCCCGGGCCTGGAAGACAATGGGTTCTGAATACAAGCTTGTTTAACTGTGTCAAAGATCTTCACTGCTGAGCATCCATTGCTCCTGTCATCTTGCATGTCCCTTCAAATGCACTCCCTGCCCCACTTCCCACCCCACACAGGTCCCTGCCATCTCCTTGGCCTATGAGGCAGCTGAGAGTGACATCATGAAGCGGCAGCCTCGAAACTCTCAGACAGACAAGCTAGTGAATGAGAGGCTCATCAGCATGGCATATGGACAGATCGGTGCGCCAAGCCCTGGGGCTTGGGAGGGAACCCCCAGAGGGTTCTTTTCCCAGCTTTTAGAGGAACAAGCCCCAAGCAAAATTCCGGGACAGGGGCCAGCTCCCCAAAGGTCAGGGACCTCCATCTCTGGCCCTGAGGGGCTGCCCTGCTTCTGCTTCCTGCTCTGACCCAGGCCCTGCCTCTGGCCCTCTACCCACAGGGATGATTCAGGCACTGGGTGGCTTCTTCACCTACTTTGTGATCCTGGCAGAGAATGGTTTCCTGCCATCACGGCTGCTGGGAATCCGCCTCGACTGGGATGACCGGACCATGAACGACCTGGAAGACAGCTATGGACAGGAGTGGGTGAGTGGTGCTGTGTAAATGCAGTGCACGTGTGTGAAGGTCGGGGGAGCTGAATGCCTGGCAGGAGTGGCCAGTGGTGGCCAACTGAGACTGGGGCTGGGGGTGCACCAGGAGAAACCGTGCTGCATTCTGGTCCTACCTATTCCTCCAACACTCTCATCTCTCTCTGCTCTCTCCCTCCAGACCTATGAGCAGCGGAAGGTGGTGGAGTTCACTTGCCACACGGCATTCTTTGCCAGCATCGTGGTGGTGCAGTGGGCTGACCTTATCATCTGCAAGACCCGTCGCAACTCAGTCTTCCAGCAGGGCATGAAGTGAGTACCCCCCCGCCACGGCACCCACCCACCCCTCAGGCTCTGGGCACACTCACAGATCCACACAGGCCAGGCTTCCAACTCAGCCCTGGCCCAGAACTGTAAGAGGGGGCATCAGATTTTAACCTTCCATCTGTATGTCCATAAATAGGTTTCATGTAGACGAGAGGAGAGGAACCAGTGCTGTGACTATTTCCAATGGGTTCTAATTTTGCTCCTAAAATGTATTTTGCTATCATCTCCCTCCAACTTCCCTCCCTTCCTTTCCCCATCTCCTACCTGAGTGCCACTGCCCACATCCTTTGCAGCCCTAAATCCAGTGTCTTCTGTGCCCACCGCTCCCCTGGCCCTCCGTAGTCAGCCTAGTTTATAGCACCTGCGCTGTGGTGCTGGAGGCCGCGTGCTGCTGAGGGTCAGGCTCAGTGCCTTCTTACAGTGCTAAGTGCCTAACACATTTCTTAACCTCACGATAGCCCCATGAGGTGGGTATTATTGTTTACGTTTCATGGATACGAGGCCCCAAACAGGTTAAATGATGTGCCCAAGGTCATGAAGATGGTAAGGGTCCACGACATCTGTCTCTGAAGCCCAGCTTCCAAACTGTCTGGCACTGTTTGGAACTCAGTAATGACTGTGATTCTAGCCTGGGTGGTGGCTGAGTGCCGGAGGTATCCTGCTGGTTCCTTTTACTTTCTCCTACCGTAAATAATGGCCATAATTCCTCAAATGAGCCTGTCATAGTTTCTCAGTTTGGAGCTGGGGAGGGTGGGGAGAAGATGCCAAAGTGAAGTTAATAGTACTTAAGATCCATGGGAGGAAAAAGTGAAAAGTCTGTTAGATAAATAAAGGTAATATGAAGGAAGGACATTCCAGTAAGCTAAAAATACTAATGGAAAAAATGCAATTCGAAGAGAACAAGGAGCAGAGAGTCTAAGAAATTGGGTGTAGTTCTGGGGCTTCAGACTTACTGTGCACTGTATGTGTGACGCAGGAAGGTAGGAATGTGGCCAGACTGGCGACATCCAGCCCATCTTAGCGGCAAATAGGAAAGGTGGAAATGAAAGTCAGGCTGGGTACAGAGGAAGAGCACTAACACCGCAGGCCTCACCTTAGGTCCCTGGGCCATTGAGGATCCTCAGAGATGCTATTTGCCTTATTTTGAAAAGCTTTATGGAAGCAAAGCACCCACCCGTGAGAGGGCAACCAGGCTTACTCTGAGTCATTCTCAGGCAAAAGCCAAGCACAGGTATCATGAAGTAGTGATGGAATGCTGATCCACAGTTCAGTGTGGAAGCCATGGATATTTCTAAGTAATTTTAAATGGGGAAATGTATTCATTACCTATTCCAAATGTAGCTTGAGAGACAAAAATAAAAAACCATTAAATGTGGCCTTTACAGAAGAAAATAATGGGATCCTTAGTGAGTGAAACTTTGGAAATCACTGGCTTAAACCACGTGTTTATAAAGAGGTACCTTGTATAAGAATACAAAAGATGGAGTAGGCCAGGCACAGTGGCTCACGCCTGTAACCCCAGCACTTCTGAGCCCAGGAGTTTGTGCTCAGGTCCCAGCCTGAGCACATGGTGAAACTCTATCTCTACAAAAAAAACACAAAAATTAGCAGGGCGTGGTGGCACACACCTGTAATTCCAGCTACCAGAGAGGGTGAGGCAAGAGGATCACTTGAGCCCAGGAGGTGGAGGTTACAGTGACCTGTAATTGTCCAGCCTGCGTGAGACTCTGTCTCAAAAAAAAAAAAAAAAAAAAGTGGAATAATAATCTGAACACTCTCCATGTTTCAGAGCTTTTCACATATTATCTCCCATAATTTTCCCAGCAACCCTATATAAAAAGGTAAAATCTCCATTTTATAGAGAAGGATCATGAGGCTCACAGAAATCCAACATTCCCTGCAATCCAAAGCTAGTCAATGGCAGAACTGGGAAAAGACTCCACCTGTCTGACTGCAGAGACTGCCCTCACAACCTCCTCATTCTATCCTGCTTTTCAATTCTAACATAGTGAATGTATATTAACCACTTATGTATTGAGCACCCCTTTACATTCCCTGAATTACATATCTATGATGAAACCACCACCAGGAACTGTGGGGGATGCTGAGATGGTGGAAGACATACATGGGGTCTGCACTGAAGGAGCTTTCCAGCATCTTGCTGGGGAGACAACGCTTTCACAGGCCCCGTGCCTGGAACAGTAACAAGATCATGAGTTCCATGAGATGGGGCCCATGCTGACTGCTGTGTCTCCAATACAGAACAGGTCACCCAATACCCAGAAACAACTCTTTAATGAATGAATATATGTGTAATAGACAACATTCAAAGGTGAACTCGGTAAGCAGAAAAAAAAAATAACATCTTCTGGCGGGGCGGAGTGGCTCACGCCTGTAATCCCAGCACTTTGGGAGGCAGGCGGATCACGAGGTCAGGAGATCAAGACCATCCTGGTCAACATAGTGAAATCCCGTCTCTACTAAAAATACAAAAAAATTAGCTGGGCATGGAGGCGTGTGCCTGTAATCCCAGCTATTCAGGAGGCTGAGGCAGGAGAATTGCCTGAACCCAGGAGGAGGAGGTTGTGGTGAGCCGAGATCACACCATTGCACTCCAGCCTGGGTAACAAGAGCGGAACTCCGTCTCAAAAAAAAAAAAGAAAGAAAATAATATCTTCCTTTGGTTACATAAAGCATGAGAAGAGGATGTTGGAAGAAGACATGGGACTGTGTCATTTATGATTCTCTCTCCTCTCTCCCTTCCACCCCATGAGTGTCCCAGGATTCCCTCCCTCCTTAATCCCCCTTCACCTGCTACCATCCTTTCTTTGCCTTTCAGGAACAAGATCCTGATTTTTGGGCTCCTGGAGGAGACGGCATTGGCTGCCTTTCTCTCTTACTGCCCGGGTATGGGTGTGGCCCTCCGCATGTACCCACTCAAGTGAGTGTCCCTTTTGGGTGGCCCGAGTAGTTGTACGGGGACTTGAGCCCCCTCCAAGTTCTCATCAGTTTGAATGCTCCTTTATGTTGATGGCTGCCGAGCCG